TTTAAACCTATCCCCTGCTCTGCAAAGGTCAAAATTATCTTGACCTCTGTGTCTGGCTTTGTTCCTGCTCCTGATTCTATCAGGAATGACTGGCTCCTCTCTTCCATTCGTATTTCTACATTTTACACACCCTTCATGAAACAGCTTAAATCCCTAATCTTCACTTTTAGAACTAAAAGGAAATCTGTAAGTTCTGTTGTAGATAAAAAATTTAAAATTGAGACCTGTCAATATTAAGTGCCTTGCCCAAACCCCTGTAGCTAGTTAGAGATAGAACTAGGATTAAGACCCAAGCCTCCAGAATTTTCTTTATGCCCCCTTTCCATAGTACTTTGCCCCCAGCCTATACTGCCCACTTTCTTTTATAAAAAAATCAACCCCTTCATCTTTTTCCAATGGGTTCTCTTGTGAGAGTTAGCCTGTCTGGGTTCTAGCATCTACCCGCAACTGGGTGACGCTCTTGGAGCATCTTCTCTCCATCTGTAAAGTGGAGATGACTCCATCACCTGGCCAACTTGAATATTCTTATGTGTGCTGATTTTCTTTCTCCAAATATCTCTAAATTTTATAATTACAAGGACTGTGTCTATGTCATATCTGTATCTCCTCCCAGCTGTTCTCAAACTGTGTTTCCCAACCAGGAGCATCAGCATCACCTAGCACCTTGTTAGAAGTGCACATTCTTGGGTCCACCCAGACCCACTGAATCTGCAAAGTTGGAGTGGAGCCTGGTAGTCTGTGTTTTTGTTTTTGTTGTTGTTGTTGTTTTTTGAGACGGAGTCTTGCTCTGTCACCCAGGCTGGAGTGCATTGGTACCATCACTGCTCACTGCAGCCTCAACCTACCAGGCCCAAGTGATTTTCCAACCTCAGCCTCCCAAGTAGCTGGAATTTCAGGTACACACCACCACACCTGGCTAATATCTGTATTTTTTTTTAGAGATGGGGTCTCACTATGTTGCCCAGGCTGGTCTTGAACTCCTGGGCTCAAGTGATCCTCCCACCTCAGCTTCCCAAAGTGCTGGGATTACAGGTGTGAGCCACTGGGCCTGGCCACATACATTATTTCTAATCCTCACAACCCTGCCAAGAGGGTGCAGTTATCCCCAGTTTACAGATAAAGAAAGAATCCCAGAGAGAGGAAATGGTGTTGCTCAAACCACACGGGAACCACGTGGGAGAGCCTGTGAGCATTGGGCCTTGGCATCTCTGAAGCCACCTCCTCTCGCCAAGCTGCTTCCCAGCTGGTACTGCTTTTAGGTTCTGAAGCATTGCAGAGCTCAGCGTTGGGGAGTTATCAGGCCTCATCATTTTGGTTTCCTGATTAGATTCTTCCTTCATGTCAATTTGTCAGTCAGAACTTACGTTTTAATTTAAAAATGATGAAGTTATCAGTCTGGTTTTTAAAAACTTACTTTGGGTAGATTGGAAACTCTTAGTAGTGTCTTACAGCAGAAGGTGGAGATTTTCTGCGGAACCAGGAATTCTCAATAGCAAGAAACTCAGCTGGTTGGTGCCTGTTACGTATACACCAGTTCCCTTAGTACAGCCACTTCATGAGGAAGATATTAATTTGGCCAGTCGCATAGCTGGTAACTGTTAGAGCTGAGATTCTAATGCAGATATTTCTGGTTATGGTTGTCAGAAAAACTTGTGGTACCTACTGTGTGTTAGGTACTTTCATATTATGTTTTTAAATTCTCATAGTAACTCTCCAAATAAGTGGTTGATTTTTTTTTTTTCTATTTCTTCTTTCTTTTTTTCATGTCAGTGCCCTTAATTTAAAAAGTGCTATTTCTTATTTTCATTTTACAGATGAGGAAACTGAGACCAAGAACGTTCCTTGGGTCATGGATTCCTATTGTCAATTTACGGTGTTTTTTAGTGTCTCGGTAATTTTGTTTTTACAGCACCGCTATGCCAAAAAGTACCTAATAGTCTCATTTATTAAGTAGTTATGTCCAAACCATTTAATATGTATTTATGTCCTTACAATTTGTTAGCCATTTGAGAAGATAATACACACGAATTGAAAGAAAAAATATTTTTATTTCATTTTTGAATACCATAGTTACTTCCTAATGGTATGTGTGCCTTTTGATACTGCTCAAATCCTCCAACCTTAGGATCCGATTGAACACCACCGCCGTCATTCTGATTTCACATCCATTTTCACAGTTATTTTTGTCAGAGCAGCTATCCAAACACAGCTCCACAAAGATATGATGTCACCAGAAGAAATGTACCTTGAGCTCCTAGTTAATGCAGTGCCCAACAGATGTCACATTTCCCTGTGTTCTCCATGAAATTTTTAAATATCCTGTGGTGAATTCAGTGTGGCACCCCAGTTGCCACAGCACATAGTTGGAGCACTGCAGACTTGTTCACATAGGCAGTGGCGTGCTCGTGAGTCAGCCTTAGGTGTGTCTAATGCCAGATCCGTGTGTTTTTTTTCTTTTTTGAAATTTGACATTTCTACAGAATTAATTTTAATTCAGTGTAAGGTTTTTAAATGCCACAACAGTGGACAGGGTTCAGATCTAAGTCACACCTGTTTGTTCTCTTGCTTAATTCTGTGTCTTCCCTATAGCAGGTGCCTAATAAGTATTTATTGAAAGGAAGAAAAACTGCCCCCAACTTGAAAATAGGAGCTTACAAAATTGCATAAAGGACAAGAGGCATTAGATCTACAGAAAGGCCATGGCTCTAATGACCTACTGTCTTGTGACTTCTTTCAGTTAAGTATCTTGTTTTAAACAAGAACCATGGCCCTTGCAAAGCTAACGTTTAAGTTGGTACGGCTTAAATCTTTCAAAATATAATAGCAATACTTGGAACTTATATACTTTGAGTGGGAAATTTTATTCGCGAATCCTTGATTTTGATAGGGATGCTTACTCCTTGGCTTTTCACCTTCATGTTTTGATTTTCGTTAATATGAAACCATTTTTCTTAAAGTGAAACATACCACAGATTGCATTAAGCCCTGACTATTATGCTGAATTTCTTGAAACAAGGCTTCAAGCTTGCCCCGGGAGCATACCTTACATTTAGCACATGTAAGACCTTGCATTTATAGATCTTTTAACCTAAGATGGTCATACTTGGTCGACCTCCTGAAACTCTGTAGGCTGCACTTAGCTTGATGAGGGAGACGTGCACAGAAAACTGAAATGATGCTGAATATTGCTTGATTAGGTGCAACTCTTCCTCTTTAAGTACAAAACCAGTGTCTAAACAGATCTGTGAATGGTGGTAAGGTGACGGAAGTGTTAGTTCCAAAATAAATACTTCCCTTGTCTTTTCCAAGTACAGAAATTCTTTGTCATTTCAAAAACACAGGTAGCAAAGGTTGCTGCTGATTAATAGTCATTGTTTACGTGCCTGCATTTTAAGGATCATGGACACCATAAATAAAAACACATCACTGAGACTTGCTCCTCTCTGTGCACCTTCATCCAAGGGGCAGTGATAATGGTGAGATATTTAAGTCTCACTACCGAAGCAACAGTGAGGACAGCCATGAAAAATAGTCTGTGCAGTAGATGTGTCCCCTCTGAAACTCCCAAGTAGCAGAGCATGCAGCAGGGAAAGAATTGTGGGTAGTAATTTGGGTGTTAAAATATTAACACATTTTTGCATATTTAATGTGGTTTCCTTTTTAAATAATAGGCAGATTATGGCATGCAAGCAGATAGGTTTATGATTTCAAATTAAATTTTAAGCATTAAAAAAATCCAGAAGGAACTACTTTGTGATAAATACATTCAGTTAATCAAGAATTGCTTTCTTTTCAACTTCTCTGCTCATATATTAACTAATTTATAGCCTAATTTCATGATTGTAGCTTGTGAATTAAGCTTCATGGTGAGTTTTAGTCTTAAAAGTTCAAAACTCTCATTCTTCTAGTTCACATTTGAGTACTATGGGCTAGACATATATAATCTCTGGACTCAAAATGGGAAATCTTGGAAGTCTTTACCGAGGAGGTAACCTTAATACCTGGGCATTAAGAGTGTGAGAACCATTGTTTCAGTCTGTCACTTTACTTGGTTCTGGTCTCTTGAGAGCAGAGGCCGACGTTTTTCCCCTTAACTGCCTTTTCCCTTTCTAACTTCTCCTTCTCTCTAACTCAGATTGTAGTACTCGTGAAAAATTTGTCCTGGGGAAGGAAGCAAGACCTCTTAACATTTTTCTCATTTCTCCTATTTCCCCATAGGCAAAGATGCCTTTCGATGCCAACAAACTGTATTGCAGTGAAGTGCTGGCCATACTGCTCCAGGACAATGATGGTGAGGCGCCCTCTCAGTATTGATATTCTGTTAGGATAGGAGCCAGGCTTGTTTCAGATCATGACAGCAAGCTCTCTTGCCTTTGGCATCCCCTTGCTCTCCCTCTCGCTCCCTGTGCTGCTTTTGTACTCTGTCAAGCTGTATTGATTTTGTTTGCTGATGTATCAGTGTTAGACGGCTGTAAAATCTGACAGTTAGGTTCATTTTTTTTTTTCCTCTATTTTTTCCCCCTTTTAGAAAACAGGGAATTGCTTGGGGAGCTGGATGGAATCGATGTGCTTCTTCAGCAGTTATCTGTGAGTAATTCTTATGCTTCCTGTCTGCTCTAAGATACATGACTGGCTTTGAATGGGAGGTGGAGCTGGAAATTGTGGGAAGGAATGAGCCATGTGCTGCAAGCCATATGGAGTATGTTGGCAGGTTTGAGGGTTATATGGAGGGACATGGTTTGCCTCCTTTTCTTAGTCATTTGCTCTTTATGACCAGACATCACTGTGTGTCAGATATGAATTTTCTTCGTCTTCTGATATGATATTGTCAACTCAAAAAAGATGTGCCTCCTGCTTAAGTGTGTATGTTCTGGGCCAGGCATACCAAATTATTTTCATTTGACCCACTCCCAAGATTGTTCACCAACCTTCCTTTCAGTCTGCTGTGAAAATGGAGTATGTTCATTTAGGATCTGAATAAGCTCAAGGAGTCCAAGTTCCACTGCAGTGGGGTGGGGGTCAAGGGGAGGATAGGGGAGGATGTGGTGCTGAAGGCTGGAGTGAGAACTTGGAAACTGCCATTTTCTCACTGTAAGAAATGTAAATCCAGTTGAAATGTTATTCTGCTGGCATTCTGAAAATACTGTTAAGATTTCCTCTTACAAGTTTCATCTGTGTTATTCTAAAAACAGGACTGAAAATAGATCATTTGGATAAAATCTTGAGAGTGTTGGGAGAGTCTGAGATGTCAGTTTGCATACAGCTTCCATCTTGGTGCCAGCAGCCTGAGTGGCTTGGCCTCCACCCCAAAAATAGAGCTTTGAAATGTGAATCTGTTTCCAGTTCTGGGAAGGTGCTTAGTCCTTTTCCTGTGAGACTATTGATCTTCTCGTAGTAGACTATATGGGTATGCATATACTGTTTAAAGGCTTCTCTTAACATGCCTTACATCTCTGGCAAAAAGAAGACTTCTGCTGTAAGCACTTCCCATGAATTAAAGCCCCAGCTCCCCTGTGAGGGAATTCAGTGGCTTTGATTGTCAGGAAACGCTTCCTTATATTGAGCCATGTTTCACCCCCCTGGATTGTGGTTGCTTTTAGAAGGGGAAGAAATGAGATGTGGTTGGGTTGGGCAAGTAGAGGGCTTTGAGGGTAGTTGGCAAAGTTGTTTCTCATCCTGGATAATGATTTCAGGGGTGTTCACTTCATTCATTTAGTTTTATATGTCCTTTATGGAGTTGTTCTGTATCTGTGTTATATTTCACAATAAAAAGGTTTTGGTTTTTATTTGGGTTTTGGTTTTTAAAAAAATCTGCTTGCCTGAAACTGTCAATTACTGATGGACCCAGTGGTCAGTTGAGTGTTTTGGCTTTTTTTTTTTTTTTTTTTTTTGCATTTATTTAATATATGTGAATTATTTAGTTTCTCTAAAATGGAAACTGATGAGAATTTTGTTTGGTGAGCTTCTGTTTCCTCAACCGTAGAGTTTGGCTTTTTTTTTTTTTTTTTTTTTTTTTGCATTTATTTAATATATGTGAATTATTTAGTTTCTCTAAAATGGAAACTGATGAGAATTTTGTTTGGTGAGCTTCTGTTTCCTCAACCGTAGAGTTATGACCCACAGGTTTTAGAAATTGTTGGATGGAGGCTCATGGAAAAACATTCTCTTATAGTTCTGTGCTTTGTGCTGTTTTTGCTTGACAGGTGTTTAAAAGACACAATCCCAGCACGGCTGAGGAGCAGGAGATGATGGAGAATCTGTTTGATTCCCTCTGCTCCTGTCTAATGCTTAGTTCTAACCGTGAGCGCTTCCTGAAGGGCGAGGGTCTTCAGCTGATGAATCTCATGCTCAGGTATGTTTTGAATGTCCTAGTTTTCCCACCTTTTTTGCCTGACTTTTCACTGTTAGCCTGAATTCAAGAGCATGTAGCTATGGTCATTTATTCTGTTGGGTTTCCTAGACTTTACCCTGAAGAGTAAAGTCTTCAAGCATGAGGATGTGTTTGTGTAGGTATGTGGTCTTTCCTAAAGTTAGAGTAGACAAATAAAAAGTATATTGTGTTCTGTTTGTGCCCTACTGCGGTGGTTGCTAATATGTCCGCTCCATTGAAGGACATTGGTGTTTTTCCTCTCCTTCCCATAGTGTGTTAGTTTTGGGGAAATCTAGCCATTACTTCTAAACTTGAACTGATTTTCTGTATATATCACATAGACCTATCTATGCCATATGTTTTTCTGTATTTTTATTGAAAGCAGTATATCATTTGTATTTTTCACTCCTCATTCAGTAATGAGTTGTACATGTGCTGTATGCCTAGCTTAGGAAATATGAAAATGTGCAAGATAGTTCCAGAAACTTTTATTTATAGTACTTGCCTTGTATGTCTTATTATTTATACTCTAATTCCTGAAATTGGATCTTATATTAGTTTCACAGTTATTTTGTAGAATCCTAAAGTTAGAAACAAAAAGGGAAGAGGAAGCTTATATTGATAATTCTTGAGACCCTGTCTAGGAAGGGGAGTAGAGAAGTGTGTAGGGGAAGGCTGAGAGGATAACCAGAGTGTGCCATAGGGTCAAGGGACTTTAAAAAAAAAAATGAGCATGTTTATGTGGTTGGAAGATTCTAGTCATTATGAAATTGTGCCCTACAGAAGGAGGAAGTTGAGATTTAAAGAAAAAACAAGAAAGAAAGAAATGGAGCCAGAGTCTGCTGTCTTAAAACTTCAAGTATACTGAAAGCCCTGTTGAACTAAGATATTTCTTTGGAAATGTTTTTCAGAAATGTGATATATATTTGTTAAATAGAATTTAGAATACTAAAATACAAAACTGCTATTAAAACATTGACAAGGTACTATGTTAAGTGCTGGGCATACACAGAAATACCTAAGACAGAATTTCTGTCTCCACAAAGTTAGAAAAACAGTTCTGTGACCTAAACACAGCCTGTCTTTGGGCGTATATTTTCTTTTAGTCTTTTTTCTGTAATTTTTAACAACTTTTTAAGCCTGCCACACATACGATTTTCTTTATTGCGACATTTCAAACATAGCATGCTGTTTCCCATGCTGTGAATAATCTTCATGGGAGTTTTCAGTAACTGCATCATGGCCTCCAAGGGACTGTAGCTTAGTTAGTATTCTTCTGTTGTTGGCGTTGAGGATATTTCCAGTGTTTTGCTATTATAACAAATTCTACAGTGACCATTTTTGTGTTTAAAATGATGTTAGGATTATCCAGGTACAGTATGTTCTCACTTAACATCATCAATAACATTCTTGGAAACCATAACTTTAAGCGAAATGATGTATAATGAAACCGGTTTTTCTGATCATTGTTAAAACGGTATTATTTGAGGATCTGACCTGCTATATCCCGTTTTACTTAAAGTTGCCATTTCCAAGTCTATCTGTGATGTTAAGTGATGACTTGTTGTGTATATTTCTAAAACATCTTAAAAGGCTTCTGAAGGGCTGGAGGCACAGTAGACCTCTTCATTTGTCCAGTGCGTACCAGACCTTGCATTGACCAGAAGTCTTCCTTTGAGGAATTGCTTTTAAAAACAATTTTTTTTTAAAGTGCAGAGAGGGGCATGAGAAATTACTCAGAGGCCTTTTGTGTTTAGCTGATTTTTGCTAGTTTTACTCTCTTGAGTCTTTAGTTTATCTCCCTTACCCTTCTAATTGCTTGTCCTTTTGTTGAAATGACCCACCTTCTCTCAAGTAAATAGCATAAATAGAAGATGCATTTGGCTTCTTGAGTCTTCTAACCTTAACACATTGGTCTGAAGAGACTTTTCCTTAAGCTTCTTAAAGGTCTGAATTGCTAGTGTCTTTGGATGGTTGAGTGCAAATATGAAGTGATATATTTCTGTAGCATATGGCTTGGTATTGCGTAGCAGTGGGGAGCTGAATAAATAACCAGAAATATGGATTATTCAAACAGAAATGCTGAGATTCAGGGAGGCTAATTAAAGGAGAGCTCCAAAAGACTTAGAAACTGTACCTCTCTAGATCTCCTAACTTTTCATTTTTGAATGCTGAAGTTGCTGTTATATTCATTCTTTTGCATTAATTAGCTATATTAGCAGATTCAGCATTTCCTTTTTTCTCTCTCCCATACTCTTTGTTCTGTGTTATTTTTCTTCTTCAGACTCCCAAATGGAAAGTTTAATTGGGATGGAATATTTTTTTCCATACTATAGTCACCCTTTCTGATCTTTAGCAAGAGCTGCCAGGTGGCTCTTTGTCTAGAGAGAGCCTATTCAAGACTAAGAAGCTGTAACACTAGAGGTTCAGGAAAGTTTCTGTGGTTCCATTGCCCCTAAATACAAATCTTTACTTTGACTCAGTCATTCATCAGACAGTTGTGAAATGCCCACGTGGAGAGGTGGCAGTATGGAGGAGGGTGGAAGAATGGCCTGGGACTTGTAAGTGTGGGTTTGGAACATACTGTTTCACTTATTAGCTCTGGATATTTGGTGAGTTACTTTAACCTTTGTGACCTTCTCATTCTCAGTTTTTCATCTGAAAACTGGCACTAATAATACCATATTTACAGGGATTTTGACAGAATTAAACTCTATAAAGTATCTGGGAGAATTCTACAGTTGCAAAACACTGCTAAGGTACTATGTTAACTTTCTATGTTAAGTGCTAGGTTTATACAGAGATGCACAAAACAGGGTTCCTGCCTCTAAGAAACTCAAAGTCTAGTGAGGGATGCACACATTAAATAACTATGATATAATTTAATATGGTGACTCTTCAGAAGAACAGTTACTTTTGCATGTATGTACTCAGTGAATTTTTTTCCTTTCTGATTATTGATAAGGAAAGATCACAAACAAGATACTCATTGATACATACTCCCTCCTTCCCACATATGCCCTCCTTCCCACAGATATGTGCACACACACACACAAGCATATGTTCGCTACCAATTTAATATTTTTATCTACTTTATTGAGGCATAATTTTTATACAACAAAATGTATGCATTTTAAGTGTACAGTTTTGACAGATGTTTCCACTGCCACAGTGAAGATGTAGAACAGCACTATCGAGTCGAAATGTAATGTGAGATAGGTAATTTTACATTTTTAATAGCTACCACATTTAAAGGGTTAAAAGAAACAAAAATAATTTTAATAATGTATTTTGTTTAACACAGTCAAAAATTATTTCAACATGTAATCAATATAACAAAATTATTAGTAAGCCATTTCACATTCATTTTTTTGAAACTAAGTTTTCAAAATCCAGTGAACATTTTACATTTACATCCCAATTCAGATGCTAAATTTTCATCAGAATACTTGATTTGTATTTAGATTTCATAAAATTTAGAGTTGAAAACAGATTCTCATACTTAAGTTTGTCCAAAGAAACTTAAATGTTTTCCAATAAGTCCGGTATCAATTTTTAAATTTTAAACTTAAATTTATTTAAATTGTATTTAAAATTTAGTTTCTCAATTACAATAACCACATTTCAGATGCTCAGTAGCTACACAGTGGCTACCATATAGGATGCTGTATCTACAGATCCTTTTTATCACTCCCAAAAGTTCCCTTGCATGCCACCAGGCTCGGCTAATTTTTTAAAAATATTTTTGGCAAAGATGGGATTTCACCATGTTGTCCAGTCTGATCTTGAACTCCTGAGCTCAAGCTATCCGCCTGTCTTGGCCTCCCAAAGTGCTGGAATTACATGTGTGAGTCATTGCGCCTAGCCAAATGCCTCCTTTTTCATTTCCGTTTTTTATTTATTTGATCTCCTCTCTTTTTTTCTTAGTCTGGCTAAAGGTTTGTTGATTTTGTTTATCTTTTGAAACCTAACTTTTCATTTTGTTGATCCTCTGTATCTTTTTTTGTTGGTTTGTTTGTTTCATTTATTTCTGCTCTGGTCTTTATTATTTCTCTTCGTCTACTCGTTATGGGTTTGGTTTGCTCTTGCTTTTCTAATTCTTTAAGATGTTAGGTTGTTTATTTGAAGTTTTTCTACTTTTTTGTTGTAGGTGCTTATTGCTGTAAATTTTCCTCTTAATACTGCTTTTGCTGTATCCCATAAATTTTGGTATGTTGTGTTTCCATTTTCATTTGCTTCAGACTTCTTAATTTCTTCATTGACCCACTGGTTATTCAAGAGCATATTGTTTGATTTCTATGTTGAATAGTTTCTAGAATTCCTCTTGTTATTGATTTCTAGTTTTATTCCATTGTGGTCAGAGAAGATACTTGATAGATTTCAGTTTTCTTCAATTTTTAAAGAATTGTTTTGTGGCCTAACATATGAACTATTCTTGAGAATGACCCATGTGCTAAGGAGAAGAATGTGTATTCTGCAGCTTTTGGATGATATGGTTTGTCAATATCTATTAGGTCCATTTAGTCTATAGTACAGATGAAGTTTGATGTTTGTTGATATTCTGTCTGGATGTTTGGTCCAGTGCTGAAAGTGGGGTGTTGAAGTCTCCAGCTTTTACTGGGATCTGTCTCTCTCTTTAGCTCTAATAATATTTGCTTAATCTATCTGGGTGCTCCAGTGTTGGGTGCATATGTATTTACAATTGCTATATTCTCTTGCTGAATGGGCCCCTTTACCGTTATATAATGACCTTCTTTGTCTCTTTGTCTAATTTTTGTCTCGCTGTCTATTTTGTCTGATTTAAGTCTAGTTCCTCTTGCTCCTTTTTGGTTTTCGTTTACATAGAATATCTTTTTCCATCCTTTTATTTTCAGTCTATATGTGTCTTTATAGGTGAAGTGTGTTTCTTGTAGGCAATGGATTGTTAAGTCCCACTTTTTTTAATCCATTCAGCCACTCTATATCTTGTGATTAGAGGGTTT